TATGACAGCAGCCTGATTATTGAAATTTTTTGTTTGTCGGATCGACATAGATGACATAGGTTAAAAGGCGGAGCGTGATTGGTCGGCTATGTCTTATCGCTGCTTTATCGTGCCTTTGTCAGGTGGAATGATCGACATACTGTCGGAAACTTAAGAGGTGCCGTTAGCTTGTCGATCATTCCACCTGACAAAGGCACGATAAAGCAGCGTTAAGACATAGCCAACCAATCACGCTCCGCCTTTTAACCTATGTCATCTATGTCGATCCGACAAACAAAAAATTTCAATAATCGCCCCGCAGGTGGATTTAACGATGACGTCGTATCGGCACCTCAAGACTCACGAGGTGAATCTAGCTTCTCATCGATCCTACCCAACATAGTCACGGCGAAAAGGACATCAGACAAATGGACCATATTTTGTGATTAGGAGCTATAATTTCTGGCTTAATTAAGAAACAACGTATGTACCATTAGTTACTTAGATTGCATTTTGCAAAAAGGAACCACTAGCATTGCAATGCTGCTAGGATTGTGCAGCTTCTTTCGTTTTGGAGGGAAAATCCGCTTATCCCTTAATAGTTTCTATTTTACTCGCTAAAAACTGTAAATATAAGACAAAAATTACCATATAAATTTCATAGTTTTTCACAATTTCCGCAATTTTATCGCAAAGGATGAAGTTGCACAATCTTAACATCATTGCAATGCTGGTGGTTCCTGTTTGAAAAATGCAACCCACTTGATGCACATACGCGTTTTTACGGATGAGCCAGAAATTGTATTTCCTAATTTATTGCAAAATGAAGTCCTCATCTGACCAATAACGTAACTCATACATATAGTAACTGACGGTTCCAAAAGTTACCTCACCTAAGGTTGAGTAAAGTGACGTCACCTGAGATAGTGTAGGCGATGTCACCTGGTATAGTAGGTGATTTTATGTAGCAAGGTATGGTGGGTGATGTTACCTAATATGAATGGTAAGTTGGATCAAGCTAAAAGTTCGGATGGTCCGGAATTTACAAAAATGTTTCGGAAAAAAGTCCGTGACCAGCAGGCCGATTTTGAAATTGATAGACAAAGCTATAGACAAAGAAGACAAACGGGAAATGGAGGGATCCTATTAGTGGAAGCGGGTGGTTGCAATGGACAAAGGCAGTAGGTAATGGACTAACTAACGGTAACCCACGAGAAATCGAACACTTAGTCCATTATTTTCTCCCTTAGTCTATAGGAACCACACATTTTAACCAATAGGATCGCTTCATACTCTCCATGTCCTTTTTGTCTATCGCTTCGTCCATCAATTTCAATGATCAGCCCGCGAGAAGACATTCCGTTGCTGTGTTCAGCTATAAAGGCCTCGTTGAGCTTTCTGCGATGGTTAAATCCGTTGTTTTGGCAACAGGGGAGCGGTGCGCCTCTAATGGAATAATCGATCATCAGTTGTGCGTTGTGCCGGTTTCGCCGGTATTGGTCATTTTTCTCGGCAGTAATGACGCACATTAGAACTGATTTTTCGCACACCGTTGCAGCCAAAAGAGAGGTGGAGGCGCAAGCGATGTAAAGGAAAATTGAGTCAGAAAATTGGCGAACCGTTGGACATGACGTCGCGGACAATTTGTTGAATGAATTTTGGAGATGTTTATTGGCGGCTGAGGGTCGCACTTTACTTGAAAGCGCTGATATCATTGGCTCTCTGAAGAAAGACTGTTACTAACGGTTCTTTTGCCTTAAACTACGTCATTTTTTGCGCACCACGTGGATTGCATTTTGCAAAAAGGAACCAAGAGCATTCCAATGTTGCTCAAATTGTGCCATTTTTGTTTACCTCGCTAATGTAAACTGATCATCTAAACAAGTTTATCTTACTCCCAAGAAACTATAATTTCAAGATGAATTCACCCTGTAAATTTGATTATTTTTTCAGGATTTCTGTCATTTTATTGCAGGGAATGCAAGTTGTACAATCTTAGCAACATTGGATTGCTCTCGGTTCCTTTTCGCAAAATGCAATCTATATTTCTCGTTTTAATCATAATAAGATGAATTCTGCTGTTTCAGTTATTTCAGTGATTTCACCTAGAAGATATTCGACGAATTTTGAAGGAAACTCGCTTTCGAAAATTTGACACTTATGTGCTGGTTACACGCTCGAATTCCCATCAATTTCCGATCAAATAGTAACTGGTGCGCACCATCTACCATCACATTTCTGCGGCCTGCAAAAATTTGATGGTAGATGATGGAACTGTGGGGCTCATCCTTCATCTGATTTCCACACAACCGTGCTTATCTCATGCTTATTTCAATCAACACGTTGTTTTAATTAATTTTACTCATCAATCTAGATAACTCTCGACCGCCATCTTGGTCATCATTTTTATCGGAATTTGACGGAAATTTGAGCGTGTAACCAGGCCATTAATGCCCTCTTCGCTATTGCGGTAGACATTCCAGTCACGTGCCATTTATTGGCCAATATCCGCACTGTATCCGGGGAGGAACGACTTTGTTAGGTGACCGCGCGCCGGAGGTTCGGCTCCCATGCGGATCAGCCAGGATCCGGGTCCGATCTTGATCTAGGAAAGATCTCCGAGTCGGATCAGCGATCAATTCGATTACATGAACATTTTACGGCAAAAAGAACTATGTCTTACGCAAACACTATGCACTTAGTTCCTTTTAGCATGAATACGTCCACATGTGTCGCCTCCCGGCTCGATTTTCCCGCTCGGGATGTGGATGATTGCCGGAGCAAATGGAGTTATTATCCCCGCGTGGTACGTCTGGTACGTGTCAACCGGATTATCCTACGCATTCCGCGCTGGATTTCTGTTTTCCTCAGCTGAAACGCCGCATGAGTCTTGGATTTGTGTCATATTTCCGCCGATAAAACTATTATAGAGAATTTGCAGCACCGGGAAAAAAAACACATTGGATCTAGAGTTCAGACTCTTGAAAACATTGACAAGAAAAAGGACTCTTGATTCAAGCAGATTTGAGCTTAAATCAAAAGGAAATCCGATCAAATTAAGAGGCTTAGTTCTTGATTTAAGCTTAAATCTGATGGAATTAAGAGTATTTTTTCTTGTCGATGTTTTTAAGAGTCTGGACTCTAGATCCTGTGTTTTTTTTCCAGTGAGGTGTCTACAATTGGATGACATTTTTCGGCCGAAAAGCCGAAATAACTCGTTTATAATGGAGATTACGGCAAAAGTAGTTTCGAAATAAAAGTGCACACAATTTCTTTTAAAACGAGCCAAAGATGGTCAAGATCGGACGATAAAAATGCCGTCATAGCGTCGCAGAGTCTCACACAAGTATTGGGGTTTGGCAATTTGTGTAACTCTCCCTACGAAAAGAGAGCTTTTCAGGGCATAGAAAATTTGCAGGTGTCTGAAATTTGACGAATTTCGTGTTAAAGTGGAAATTACTGATTGTGAGTGAACTGAACATGAAGATAACCTTGGTTCATGAATTGAACAACTATTGGAGAAGATATGACAAAATGATCTAACCTGTTAAAATACGTGTGTTTAAATGGGAAATGCCGGCAGACGTCACTAGGCGGTGCATTCTCTCACTTTTAAATCTATTTTTATACTGTTTCCAATATCAGAAAAAAATTATAAAAAATATTGTGAAATCAGCTCTCTAGGCACTTTCAGAGGAAGCGATAAAAAATTTGCATGCAAATTCTCCATTGCAGGAATAAAACTTCTGGGCTTTTTCCCCGTTCAACGACACAACAAAATGTCTACCTCTTTTTAAGTCATTCCTGACACTCCATAATGACTCTTAGTTGGCACTGTGATTATTATTGAGTAACTCGATATTTTCCGCAACTTCGCCAGTGAGATTTATCACTGGGACAAATCTAATGAAACGTCCCGTAGAGACAAGGCCTAAGGAACAATACTTCCTGACTGGTACACTGAAAAAAAAAGATACGGGCTATGTAGACATACCGCCCATCCCGGGCTCAGAGGCCGAAAGTTCCGGGTTCTGGAGCCGCAGCTTCGATTACTCCGGGAGCTAAGCCCGGAACTTTCGGTCGCTGAGCGCAGAACGGAAAGTGTCCGTTCCCAACTCGAAAATAGGCAAAATACTCGAGAATAATGAGGTACCAAGACCCTAATCCATCAAATGAGGTTCAATCGAATATATTCCGAGGAACTTTAGTGGTCCCTTGTAACCACAGGAAATTAGACAACGCCGGAATGTTCACACTACGTTTTTTCATAACGTGGCAGGTTTGTCGCTTCGCAATGGGAAATCCGAGTGACTGAGAGATATTACGCAAAGATGGAGACTATTTAGCTATATGTTTGACAACCTAGCAAGCAAAGGGTATTGCGCGTTGACTACTGGAATTTCATATAGTATCCATTAATCAACAAAAGGGATTGAAAAGGGCCTCTCATAAAGTTTTTATTCATATAAAATACGCTGAGTTCAGCAAAAGGAAACCAAGCACATACAGACGTCTAAAAAACCACGCACCAGTATGGGAAGGCGGAAATGCGGCAATGCAGTGCTCAAAGTCATAGACCAGAGAGTTGTTTCATTTCTTTTCACTAAAGTGATCTCAAATGACTTTACGGTAGTCAAAGTCACCTTCTCTCCCCCATTTCATCGAAATTTGACAAGAAATCAGGCTACTAGAACTTGTATAAAAGTTAACAATGAAGCTTTGATTTTGCTTTCACCAATGGCAAACCAAACTTTTACTGGGCTACCTGCGTCATAACACCGTGTACAGATACACCGTGTAGTTGAATTTTTGACTCTCCTGAGACATAAAAATCCAGGAGTGAAATATTGAAGGGAATAAATCATATAATAATACAATTATTACGAGCCTCTTCTTGTGTGATGATTTTTAAATCTAATTTTCTTTTTGAATATTTTTTTACTATATAAAATTACAGTTTTTTAGTAAGAAGGTTACATTTTGCAATTTTTTACTTGAGATATTGTTTTTTAATGTTGCAGGACAAACTCAACACTTCACGTTTGACAACACCACAACGGAAGTTACGTCCATAGCACTGTCATTTTACTCTGGACTGTTCGCATATAACGGCTGGTAAGCGAAACATTTTTATTTGGTTTTTTTAAATTCTAAATATTTCTTCCAAAAGCAGATTAATTAAATATTTTTAACACTCGGATCTAGGATGCATTCAAAAATTTCATATAAGATTAAAATTTCATATCAAGAACTAAGAAATCGCGCAACTTCCCATGAGCTTTTACTATATACATAATGCATAGCTTCAGGTATTTTTTGAAAAGAGTTTCTCTTTCAGTTTTGTATCCACCTAATTATAAATTTTTTGCATGTAAAGATGATGATATTATCAAAGCATGTTATATTCTAATTTTCTTTGTTACAGGAACTACCTTAACTTCATAATAGAAGAGTTAAAGGATCCCGTGAGGTAAATATATTTTTTTATTTCTACAATTTAAATACGTATATTATGTTGCTGAACCTCGTAAAATGTACTTTGAGCTGACTAAAAATGAAAAAGCTACCCATTTAAAATGCATTCAATGTTTCAAGAATACTAAAATCAGAGAAATGAGCTTGGTGAAAGCCTAAAATACTCAATCAAGACCGATGATAAAGTGTCAAAAATAGAGCAAAATACACAGCGCGGAGCGGTTCATTGTGATCCTTGAATACAACTATTTATACTTGACGGATGTGTGTGTTGCATATGGGAATCAATGAAGGCGCTTTGATTCTCCTCACCAACTAACTAAGCAGAATAACGTGCGTTCCAGACCTTAAGTTGAGGGTATGAGTAAAACTAATAGCGGTAATTTTAAGAGCACTTTCTCTGCACAGATTAGTCCGGATCGCTAACATCTGCGGAAGATCGTGAGTAGTTTTGTGAGCGCCATTGGCGGGAAAATCCATGAGCATTTAAAACTAGGAACCAAAACTGAAATTTTGGCTATTTTCAGCAGATTTGTGGCGGGAGAATACTTCTTTTTCAGATTTTTGTGGGATGAAACGTTCCGAAGAATTCAAAAATTAGTTTCTCAGTAGAATTTATGTGGTTCAATATTTCCAGATTAAAAGATGCAGCACTTTCCCCCTTAATTTGGAATGTCTATCTCTCATCTATTTTGGATGAATCGATCTTTACCGCCTGATTTTTTATATCATATTTTTGAAGTTTAAAGCCTTAGAAACCGAAAATTAAAGCAAAATCCTAGCAAAATGAGACTTTTGGTTCCTAGTTTTGAATTCCCGCCAGGCCCCCCATGAGAGCAGTTAATTGCTACCAACTGTTGTAAGAATATTGAAACAGAATACTTAGCATAACAGTCCTTGATAAAATCTTATTTGATCAAAAACCATTACTACACATTACTATTTAAACTTTATTAAAGCTTTATAATCAGATTCAAGAGGAAATTTCTCTCGATCCGGTCAAGTTCTTTCACTACTGGTAGTGCCATCAATTTTCTAAAGTTGCCTAACGTGTAGCAAAATTACTCACGCTTTCTAAGAATTGGCTAGATTGGATGTTAGCGATCTGGACTAATCTCTGGGAAATCGACAAACCCAGCGTGCATGGAGGCTATTTCCATTTTAATCTCCCGTCACATTCTTACGGCGCAATGATACAACTATTTGAACTCTCCGGAATGCGTGGGGTATCACGCCGCATTTGAAGGCGTTTTCAAAACAGCCAAGTTCCGATACCCGGATTATCGTTTTGCGCAGTTCATATTATTTTGTTTTCATTTCTAACCACTTGTTTATTTTTAATCCTCGTATAAAAACCACCCATTTGCTAAATACAATTCTAGCTGGAGCGCAATTCAGCTATGCATTCACGACTGCAAAAATGTCAAAGGAAATCGACAAGCCCAGCGTGCATGTAGGCTATTTCAAATGTAATCCTCCGTCACATTCTTACGGCGCAATGATACAACTATTTGAACTCTCCGGAATGCGTGAGGTATCACGCCGCATTTGAAGGCGTTTTCAAAACCGCCAAGTTCCGATGCCCGGATTATCGTTTTGCATAGTTCATATTATTTTGTTTTCATTTCTAACCACTTGTTTATTTTTATTCCTCGTATAAAAACCACCCATTTGCTAAATACAATTCTAGCTGGAGCGCAATTCAGCTATGCATTCACCACTGCAAAAGTGTCGAAAGAAATCGCACATTTTATCAGGAGCCTACATGCCGTTGTGGAAGACATCATATAATATTTATGTCCTACTCTTTAATGTTTGACGCACCAGCATCCTTAACCTTAGGTTAGGGGTATGATTAACTGATAGCGGTAATTTTAAGATCACTTTCTCTGTTTTGATTTTATCAGGAACCTACCGAAAGCTATAGCTATATCGTGTTCTTTGGTGACTGTCGTCTATGTGCTGGCGAATGTGGCATTCTACACGACACTCTCACCGCAAGAGGTGCTGAATTCCGAAGCTGTAGCAGTGGTGAGTTAACGTATTTTCAAATTTAGGGTCTCTAGCTAAACCTCATACAGTAAAAGGAAAAGGGGCCTTAAAATATGATGACATTTTCAGCAGTGATTTTTGTCGAGTTGGTTGGGAAAATTTGATTTTAAGATGTCGCCGAAGAATTCTCTCAAGTGTTCTAAAATGTTAGGGGGCTAAGCTTCCTGAACGCTAGCGCTCCCCGCCCCCTTGCATTTGCCTCCTCAGGCGTTATGCGTTATGCGTTAAGCACTACTCTAATGACTTAATAAAAATGACTTAATCTTGACTCTTAATTCTTGATTTTTGTATCTTAATGATGACTTAATCTTGTAATATTATATGGGATGGTATGTTACAAGAGAGCTTGATACATTTTTTCGTTAATAAAGATTGTTACAAAGCACTGCAATGTGGCAATTCGTGTCCTGATCATAGAATTATACATAGATTTTTCTTTTGTTCCTATTGTTCCGGTAGCAATAACTGAATTTTGAGTTTTCGATGGCTAATTCCCTCTCACTCGTGAACAGTTTCAAATGGACCACAACTTGCATTAAGGAACCACTATTTCTGAATTATTTTAGAAACAACATTGTGTGTCATTGGTTTCCCTTTGCAGAAAGGTGCTTTCATGGAAGAGCAAGAGATTGTGATCCCTTATTGCAAAATGTAAATACAAATATAGGTAGCAGTTCTTCAGACTAAACCCGCATCTCATTTTCACGCCGCATTTTATCTATCTCGGCGCACCAGCAGAGCTGAAACGCCTGCAAAATTGAGAGCAGTCAACCACGAAAGAAAAACTACTAAGCACAACTTGCTAGGAAATCGGGAAAACGACAGATCAATGATATCCTGCCTGACATTCTGCCCCTTACCGAAAATTTCGCTGAAACTTGAAGTTTCTCTTGGAGATTTTTTACATCTTTCCGACTTACAAATTGATGAATTATAGTATTCAATGTGCGAATTGAGGGCACAATGAAGAGCACCCAATTGAACCGCGTTAAGCAGAAAGGAACCAAGCCACATCAGTCATTGCCAAATTTCCTTGGGCAATTTAATTTTTTACATAGAAACGATTGTGCGGATTTTTGGGCAAATTTCAGTGAATTTTTTGGATGGTGCGAGGCAAATTTCTTAGAAGTTTCAAAGGTATTCGCACAAACGTCCTGTTGTAAAAACTTTAATTGCCTCGTTAAATTTGGCCATAGCTGATGTGGCTTAGTTCCTCTCTGCTAAACGCGGTCCAGTTTGTCGTTTCCTTCCTCTGCGGTGGAGTGGCGTGCTTTGCGATCTATCGATATTTCCCCCATTTGAAGGTGTGGTAAATAATCGATTATTACGCCCTGTTTATCGATACTTTTCCATAGGTTTAAATGACCGATCAACCGATGTATCGCAAAGCACACCACGCCACTGTTCCTCTGGGACTGTTGTCACATAGCAGAGGCTGAAGTTCCGAGACTTTCTTTGCAAGTATCCTCTCTTATTGATATGTAGCTTTCCCCCTGCTTATAAGTCTCCTAAAAATATCTATCAGATCGTGTTTTCTATTACTTTCCAGACTTTTGCTGACCGACTTTTCGGAGTGATGGCCTGGACAATTCCTGTGTTCGTCGCCATGTCTACTTTCGGAGCAGTCAATGGAGTACTTTTAACATCCTCAAGGTGAGTTGACACAGGGAAAATTATGTTGTTGGTAGAACAGAGAGAAGAAGAGGAAGAATGAGGAGGAGGAGACAAAATAAACATAATAACTCAAAGCTTGCACCAGCTATACTGGCGCTTTTGGATTCATGAATGCAACAAGTTATACTTTATTATGAGTTGCCTGTCTCACTCGCCTGGAAATGTTAATCCTGGAGAGTTGAATAGTTGGGATAAAATAATATATTTTTTTCGGTTCCGTTCGATTATAACATTTAATTTTTTTTAATTGTTCTCCAATAATTTTCATTGATGCCAATTTCAATGGAAAAGTATTAGATTTTGTGTTAAGGTGTTAATGATTGTAAGAAAGATTTAAACAGAGAAAAAGAAAAGGGAAAGAGAAAGGAAGAAGAATGAAATCAAGATGCGTCATAACTACACCGATGATCAGAACTACAGAATTCACCTAAAAATAACCAGTTGATAAAATTTAACACTTAGGATGTGAAACCTTATTATTCGACTTCTTCTCAAACGATATTTAAGTTGTCAACATTTAATGGACATATTTATGCTAAAAAGATCTATGTGAATAGGATTTGCGTGGAATGTTCCTTCCGTGGATAGTTCCTTTTAGCATAAATACGTCAAAATTTACTAAAACAGCACTAATTTTGCTAATATATTCCAGGTTGTTCTACGCTGGGGCATGTGAAGGACAAATGCCAGAAATTTTAACAATGATCCAAATTCACAGACTAACCCCTGCGCCTGCTGTTCTTTGTATTGTGAGTTAATTTTGTATTTTTCCCAAATTTTCTCTCTAATGATCCCCCTACCCCCTCCCCTCACAAATGTGTTTCATCCCCAAATCATTCTAGCTACATCGTAGTTGAGAAAATAGTAAAAATACTGCAAACTCAAACAATTTTTGCACGTTTTTATTTTTCTATTACGATGGCATATTTTAATAATAATTGCCTCCGTATCCTCGTTTGAACTTTATTGCGTGAGCTCTAAATTGATAAACAATGGAATGTTAAAATAAAGAAAATATCATTTAGACTCCAAAAAAAAAAATTAATAATTTTTCCCCTAAAAATGAAACGTGAGAGGAAATTTTAAATCGATGATTTCCATACACTCCTATGCTTGATACTTATTTTTCTAATTTTAAACCTTTATATTTTACTTTAATTTGTATACACATTCTCCTACAGGCGTTCCTGTCCATGCTGTACCTTACAGTCTCTGATATTTACGCGTTAATAAATTACGTTGGATTTGCTACTTGGGTAAGTTAGTTTATTTTTGTCTCATCATAATACAGTAATCGTGACTCTGCGGAAATCAGTGGCGTGGCGTACTTTTCGATATATCGATTGTTATGCCATTTAAACCTATGGAAAAGGATCGATAAACAGGGTGTTCGCAGCGAACACCTTAATAATCGATTCTTTACCATAGGTTTAAGTGGCAAAACAATCGATACATCGCAATTCACGCCACGCCACTGGCGGAAATGCATCTTCAAAATGCGGCCAAAAACTTTAAATGCCATGATTTCGATAATCGATTGTAGACTATCCACTAAAACACTATTTTTTCGGTTATCTTTCAGAATTTTGAAAGACATTCTTCGTGGCAAATGTTCGCAATTCCAGAATTTCTGATGAACTCGATGAAAACGACTCGCTTAGCAGTTGATTCCCGAATTTCTCGTAACTTTTTACGTAATATCTTTAATAGTAAACGTAGAGATGGATTATTAGAACTCAGCTTAATTGCATTTTGCGTTGCTTAATTTTCTCTCGTATGTTTTATTTACTCGACAGAGAGCTGAACTACTTACAACCTTTAAACTTTCTGTGAATATACCATATGGAATTATAATATTTAAAAATTACAAATATCAATAATACTCAGTTTTTTGTTTTAAAAATAAAACAGAAAAAATCAGGCAAAATTGGATGCATAGTAAGGCTGATTCAAATTAAATCAGCCGAAAGAATTTGGTGTTTGAATTAATACCTTTTCTAGGAGCCCATAGGTGATTTCTAGTCAAAGTTTGTAATGACAGAAATAAATTGTCAGTGCTGAATGAAAATAAATGTTAATTTTGTCTTACAGTTGTCCATCGGAGTAGCTGTTCTATGTCTTCCAGTGCTGAGATACACACAACCAAAACTACATCGACCAATCAAAGTGAACCTCTTCTTCCCCGCGTTGTACATAATTTGCAGCGTTTTCGTAACTGTTGTTCCTATGATCGCCAGCCCTGTTGAGACAGGTAGGATGGGGTCCTCGAAACACCCTTCAATCAACGAAAATTGATATTTTCTGAGAGGATATTTGGCAACAAATTACAATTACAAACAATTAAAAAAACAAAATTCCAGGTCGAACTGTTCGGGATGTTTGACCCGGGATGTCTTGTATTACCCATCAATCTCTTCAGAATAATGTGGATCGTTGATTTTCGAAATCTCCGACGTGTACATTTTCCCTTGTCCTCGAAATATTTTCGATGAAATATGAGCCCCGTGTCATTTTCCATAATTGCCCCGAAAGTAGGCACTAATCGAATCAGCCAATCAAAGGCAACTCGTAAAAGAAAGGGGTGCAACTGTCGGTTGTAATGGACCACTAGACAAGGTATACGAATTATAGGATTCTGATACATGTTTCTTAACCAAAATTGTACGCAAAACACGATTCGGGCAACGAAAATGACTGAAATCAACTCCTAACAAAGATATTAACGTTTTTATTTCACATTGGTTACAAGGAATTTGAACTGCCCGCTCACAAGAAACTCAAAGCTCTGCGTGAGTCAAATCGCGCACTACAACGGTTTCAGCAAGCTTCTTAATTGAGCAATGTTCATTTCCCGCCATGCGTTTTTCAAGCTATAAGTAATTTGCTATAGCTGAGCCAAAGCGTCAAGATTGAGGTTGCCAGATTTTTATATCGCAGAGACTGTCATGATAAACGTTTAGCTCGCCATTTGAATCACGTAGAGCATTGAGTTTTCATGAGCGGGTGGTTTGAATTGACGCATCAAAAATTATTAAATATCTTGGAGTTGATTTCGGTAATTTTCGTTGTGCGCATCGTGTTCTACGTGAAATTTTGGTTAAGAAGCATGTATCAGAATGCTAAAAATCGTACCTTGTCTAGTGGTCCATTATTATTGATATCAGTGGCGTGGCGTGATTTACAAAATATCGATTGATCTGTCATTTAAACCCATGGCAAAAGATCGATTAACAGGGTGTTCGCAGCGAACACCTTAATAATCGCTTGTTCAATATAGCTTCAGATAGGGACATATCGATAATCGACCACTCATGTCTCGCCACTGATTAATATTGCGGCTCTTGTTTTCTCTTTGATACAACTACTGATTCAGTGTGTAACAGTTTACATGGCCTGGAGACTTAAACGAATGGGTAGAAAAGTAAACTATGCATTCAGCTACAATATTCTTAGCCCAATGGCTGGTTAAAAAAGTCACAGTGTCATTGTCTTCCTCTTGCTCCTCCTCTTCTTCTAATTATTGTTCTTCTCCTTCTCCTCTCCCTCCTCTCCTTTCCTCTTCATCTTTTTTTCTTCTTCCTTCTCATCTCCAGCAGCAGCGATTTTCGAAGTTGGCAACACTTTTTATCCTCAATTTAAACACATCAAAAATATCGATAGATCGATAATAAATGAGGCAAGCTACCTCACCAAGAATCGATTGTTTTGCATGCATTTAAATAGAGGAAAAGCAGTGTTGCCAACTTTCAAGAATCGCCACTGATCTCCAATTCAACCACTCGAGCTGCCTCGCGCATCAGGTGTTATGCGTTTTTCGTTACTCCTATAAATTATATCTTAAAGAGTAAAATTTGAGTCTTATTAACAGTCAAAACTTTATTTCAGTCCATTCATACCTTGAAAGATGAAATAATTTGAGTAAATTTGTTTTAAATAAGTAACCAAAATCATACCGACTATTTACATTGTGAGGAAATAACTAAATGTACGTTAAGAGGAGTGTAATTTTGTTTTAGGTATCGGGTGTCTGATGATTTTGACTAGTGTTCCAGTGTATCTTGTCTTCATAGCTTGGAAAAACAAACCAAAGCCATTGCAAAGAGCTGTCGGTAAGTATTTTTCTGGGATCATTTTTCATCATCATCATCATTCATTTCATTTTATTAACCTTGTTATCAAGAAGCCTTATTGCGGCACCTTCCGGCCAAAGTATTACAAACACCATGCGACGCTTCAAAATTTTCACCGTCATTTTAATTTTTTATACGGGAATTGTTTAACAAAGCTGTCCGAGAAATTCACTGAATTTTCTTTGTGCTGCCGATGAAATTCGGTAAAATGTTTAAAAAGATTCAACAAATAATTTCTCTGTAAAAAAATAAAATGACGGCGGACATTTTTAAACGTCCCATGGCGCTTGTGATACTTTGGCCGAAAGGTGACGATTTGTTGGAAAATAACTTACGAATAACGGGAGAGTAAAACATTTTACAGTTTTTCCAATCCCCTAATTGCGATCCATCAAACTGTATGAGACTCCAAGTTAGCATAGAGAAAATAAAGGTGCTTGACGATGTGCTTATCGAAAAAACACATTACAAATCGTATAGATATATATATATTTTTATTGTGAGGAGACGCCCAATTTTCCCAGACAATTCATCATTACAGGGGGAAATTGGCAACGTCAGGAGGAGCACCGACTTCAGGAAAAATGCTGATGTCCGCTGGGAAATGCGCATGCGCGCCGCCGGCCGACCCGAGCGTAGGGAGCTGGGCGACTTGCTCNAAGGTCGGCCGGCGGCGCGCATGCGCATTTCCCAGCGGACATCAGCATTTTTCCTGAAGTCGGTGCTCCTCCTGACGTTGCCAATTTCCCCCGGTAATGATGAATTGTCTGGGAAAATTGGGCGTCTCCTCACATTATAGGAACAATTTTTTACTCGTAGGTCCGCAGTTTTTAATTATATAAGTTCATATTTTATTTGAATGTGTCCTAGTATCACACGTAATACGTAATTGAATATTCTTTTTTACAGGGGGCTACGTCCCCTGATCGCTTCACGTTTCAACCCCCTGAAGCTCGTCTCTCCTAGAGCGTCATGCGTTACCCGTTTTTGTTATGATTTTGTATTATTCTTTTTTATAAGTTTTCCTTCTTTTCATTTGGTAAGCAATTTTATTTTATTTTGTATCGTTATCTTATTCTAAAGCGTCATGCGTTACTCATTTTTCTTATGATTTTAAATTTTTCTTTTTTATAAGTTGTCCTTATTTTTATTTGCGAAGCTATTTTATTTTATTTTAAATCGTTATCTTTTTGTTTTTATAGGAAAGTTTACGCAGACTTTACAAAAGTTATTAGTTGTTGTGCGACCTGGAAGAAAGGTTCATATCTTTATATTTTTCCTTTTATATTTTAATTTTATCCCACTCGTCTTCTTATTCTTTGAAATTCCCTTCATTTGCTACTAACTTAGGATGAATCTTTTTTTAAGAAGCTTTATGTTCACTGAATGTAATATTTTGTCTACTTTATTCTTCAAATTACCTGCATTGTACTTGACACTGCGGCGAAGAAACTAATACCTCAAGATTTTCCGGAAAAATTATTCTACTATTGCATACTACAACACAGAAATTAAATATAACTGTTATTTTGGGCTGAGTGGAATGGAAGTTCTGATTAAATTATACCATAACTGAGCATTGAGAACACCCTGTTCTTCATTCCCTTTTTGATTTGTTAAAATTGTTTTTACAAAAATGCTCGGTATAGTTTTTGATAATTTTGCAACATTGATCATTTTAAACAGATGTGGGTAGTGTAAAACCTCTACACGTGAAATTAGATTGAGCTACTAAAGTAATTTTAACCCTCAAAACATCTGCTTAAACTTTTTTCAGACCACGGTGTCCATCTAGTTGTTCTAACTTAACTTGTTTTCCTGGTCCTTACGAGAGTGCTATTAAACATTCTCACGTTCAGAAACGCTTTAATTACATACATGCTCTTGTAGTCCTGGCGTATGATCGTAAAAAGTATAGGCATCATTCAATTGTTTTCCCTCTTTGAGCAATGCGGACATCTATCACTTGGATCGCGTTTGGCAGAAAGGAACCAATCCACATTAACCACTGCCGAATTTAACTGAACAATTTAATTTTTTAGAAGAGAACGTTCGCGCGGATTTTTTTGAAAATGTCAAGGAACTTGCCTCTTGCTATGCAGAAAATTCTCTGAAATTTGCAAAAAAAAAAAATCTGCACAACTGTTCTCATGTAAAAAATTAAATTTGCCAAGTTTAATTTGGCAACAGCTGATGTAGCTTGGTTCCTTTCTGCTCAACGCGATCCACTCATCATTTTATGCAATCAGGGAAATTGGAAATTTTTGGTTGAATTTTTTTTTCTTGTTTAAATTCTTGAACTTAACGAGTTGATAATTCCTTATTTCTTGTTTTATTTTTTGTCTTTTTCCAGTAAAAATGACACATGCTCTACAGAAGTCAATGATGGTCGTTGGTAAGCAGTCGGCCCCATCCACACTATAAAGTTAGGGTAATCGGCCGAAATCCTCAGAATCATTTTTGAACTCACACCGAACTAGATAAAATCGTCCTGGAACTACGAAAACGGACGCAAGACATTTTCAGACTGCGATCTTGATTTGCGAACTTAACTGCACGGATTTCGAAATGCTTACTTAATTAACCAGCCTCTAGTTTTTTAAGAGGCTATACATAGTTCTAGGAATGTTTCTCTGTATTAATTTAGTATCTCAGGTCTCAACGAAACTTTCGTTCAGTGGCACAGTGTAGGTTGAATACGTTGGGATGTGCAGTTGAGGTCTTCCTTGCTGCCGTGTTAAGGAAGAACGCCGTATGAACATTCGAGGGTTGCCAAATTTCTCCGCATAAAATATGTACTTTTGAGGAAAGTTATGCATATTTTTCCGTTTCGAATATGTATGCTCAAGTTGCGTACAAAATCATCTGAAAAATTCGAAAAAAATATTCAAAATTTTTCCAGTTAATTTGGTTTTTAGTGAAGGAAATTTGGCAACGTTTAAAGGCTCATACAGCGTTTTTCCTTAACGGCAATATGTTCGATTTTATTCCCCTTGATACTTCATGATGTATTTTGTTTTTACGAAGGGTGTCTTGGATGAAGAAAATAGTTGGAATAAGTTAGGCTCACCGGGAGAAACGCGTTTAAATTCAAAGAATTCGTGAAAACTTTTGAAAAAATCAATTTTAAACTCGATTATTGGGATGAAAATATAAGGCTCAGTTTCCCGTGTACTGGGTTCCTCCAAAAAGTGTATTTTGAGTTGCATTTTACTCGCGATGACTGCTATCGAATGTTTTTCTAATAATTACAATGGTTTCTTTTATCCAAGATACCATTCAATTAATTCCATATTCCATACGCATTTAGCTTAAGGAAACTGGCAAGGTTTTGCTTCATGTAATAAGCTTTAATGATTTTGTGCTTTTGCCTGGAGAGATTGCAATGTTTTTCATTCAATTCGTTAGAAAGAAGATAATTCTAAAGGCGCAACATTCTTGAACCTTGTAGAGGGAAATTCTCTTCCGAGATAGTATGTCCAAATTGTGTGGGTTCAAACTTTATTTGACCAAAAAAGTTGTGCGTCCCATCACTTAAGTGCAGAAGCGTGGCGTGAATTGCGATGTATCGATTGTTATGCCATTTAAACCTATGGAAAAGGATCGATAAACAGGGTGTTCGCGGCGAACACCTTAGTAATCGATTCTTTACCATAGGTTTAAAATGGCATAACAATCGATACATCGCAATTCACGCCACGCGACTGCTTAAGTGTCATACTCTTCTGCCAGTTACCTTAGAGTACTTTTATAGGAAGAGTATGGTCACTGCAGTCACCACCTCTAATTACCTCAGCCATTTTAGGCTGAAACCCCAGAAGCATTTTTCAACGGACACATTGCGATGTTTTGAAATTCAGTTGCGATTTTTTACAATTTCTTGGCCATAATAATCGCTAGGCTCATTAACATCTGAGCGATTATTCTCAAACTTATCGCAATTATATTTCTATAAAAGGCGTTTTATAAAATCGAAATTTTTCTCAACTTAGCAAGATTTTCTGTCCGATAATATTGCGATAATATCTCCGTCGATGAAATCGCGACTGTATCGCAAATTTTTGGGATGAAATGTTTGGGTCCTAAGCCCTCCATGAGGCTCCACTGTTCATACTCTCCCTATAAAAGTACTCTAGTTTCATAAATTATGATACTTATATCAAGTGTATTCAAATCGTATTACTTCGTTTAGGCTTTTAATTTTTGCTTATTAATTTGAAGTCATTAGTTTTTAGATTTAATTTGGATTCATGACGTAAGAAATTCAATGTAATTCACCACTGCTCAAAGTTTGCAAAATTAGATTTCTAGTGTCGACTTGGAGCTGACTAACACGCACAATACCGAAGAACATATCTCAAATAATTAGGAATGACCGGTAATTTGTAAGGCACTAGTGAATAAATCGTAAAACATCAAATAAAGAAATAAAGAAACAAAGTGAGAGCACTGATTATTTAACCTCTTATGCGGAATTTTTTTCCTCCGCAAAACAGGGTAGAAACACGCACACATAGTTCAGCGTGTGGTGAAATCCGTGGTCTTAGTTCAGTTCAGACCTGCCAGGCAACTAAACTAACTCCGTGACAACGCGTGAAGTATCGAAAAAAATGAAGGCGCTCCAAGTCGAGATTGTTATTCTGAAGACTTTTACCCATCGAACCCTCATTATACCGATGTTATCACGTGAATTGTCGAAATAGCATAAAAGCAACTTGCAAATTTCCGGCGATTTCTATTTGGCTGCGATATTTACACGTGGACACAAAAATTATATATTAATGCTAATACTTCAAGAAAGTGAGTGAACGTCATTGAGTTCTATGATTTTCTACAATTTTTAGTTGTACTTTTAATATCATATCCATGACACGTCAACTGCATATTTTGCAGAGTCCAATATACCGTCAGTGGACCTGTTTTTTGTGTCTGTCATACCATCGAAATTGAAATGTATACAGAATATACGATGACTTTACCACAATAGTGTATGACACTATCGTACTTCATCTCTAGCAACCAGATTAAATCTGGAGGCTTGATCATTCTGTAACATTATAGCGCCATTAGTTTGGAATATGCTTGAGCACATCTCATGGCGATAAGACTAGTTGTTTTAATAGTTTGAAGTTTTAGCTTCTTTTTGAAGTACCTTACTTTTACATAACGTAGTTATTTTTGGATGTAGGATAGAATACGAAGGTATTACAGCCTCTCTTGAAATTCTCAGGTTATTTTCGAAGTTCTTCATATCTAAGAAAGGATATTTTTAAAGTGTTAGTTCGTCAAAAATATGTTTCACAACTCTATTTATTCAACTGCCGCAGCTATATTTTTCAAACCTTTATGATAGAAGTGTCTTCTTAGGTCACAAATCTTCCATTTGATAAAATAATTTTCATTATGAGGTATACATATTGAAATACGTCCTGTCCTTGAAACCGAAGCTATGTTATACCAATACGCTGAAAGCGAAAAAAAGTTGCATTTACTAAATTAAAAAGTTTAAATTTTGCTTTCTTAAACCATTAAGAGACAATACCCTCGAAATTTTGTTGAAAGGTATTTAAAAGACCTATTTAAGTATATTTTATCTGTATTTTTGCAGTCTAAAAGCTCATATCAAATTGTTGCCCTTGTGTCATAACAAGTAAATTTATAACATAAAACCGATTTTCATTTTGTTCAACAGATTTTATACACAATTAATGATTTTTTGGTGCTTTTAATTTGTATTAGGTTCCTTTTTAGCTTAAAGTTTAAAAACAAGACTCTGTGAAAAACATGTTTTGTTACAATGATGACAGAAGCATTTATTTTTTTAAATGTTATCGTCTAATGACAATAAATTGTTAGTTGTAGATGTGAACTTTGTGCTTGAAAAACCGATTCAGAGGTGAAAGCTCTACTTCTCCAAAATGTAAAACTTTACTGATACTTATTTCCGTATTTTATTTTTTTCTACAATTAAGGCCAATTATCACTATATTGGCTTACGTGCCAAAAATAAAAGTAGAACGAGGGAAAAGTTACCGTCACACGATGACTTTTTGTGGGACGATAAATATTTCTGCAAGTGACTTATTTTTTCTGCTGTGCACTTAAATGAACATTCCTGATCTTAAGCATGCACTGATGTAAGTGCACTTAAAATCAATGCAGGGTTAGGTAATTAAAGCCGATAATTAAAAAGAATTCCCTGCTAGAAAAATAATATTCCATTTAATGTACACAATAATTCTAAATTAGTGCTGGCTATGAGTATCATAATGGATTATATTTTGTTTTAGATAAATTTAAGTAAACCATTAATTTTGTGAAACAACAGTTATTGTGACCTATTCCCAACTTCCCTTTCCAAGAAAAAAGAATCTAGAGAAAAATAACGTCCGATGAAACAAATTGATTCAGTGGTGAATCATGACAAGAATTTCTATTTTGACTTCTAGACTGGTTTTTCGAATGACAATAATTTTATCAGATTTTTGCTAAAATATTATGGGTACGCGTTCCATTTTTTTCGCGCACGTGAGAAGACCATGTGAGATGTTCGTTCAATTGCGTTCGTTATATTTTCGCGCACGATTAGGTTACACGATTAGGGTATTAACTTGCGATTTGTTCACATTCCGTTACTGTGCATGTCTTAATTGTATTTATTAATGTTCTGTGTCTGCTCTAAGTAAAGTACTAATTATAATTATAATACTGATCTGAAGGTGAAATCCATGAGATAAAAAACTTTTTCTTTCTTAAATCAGCTGTATTTATTTTCAAAATCCTAGAGTCGTCCATCCGATAGGTACCTATCAATTTTCATGAATACAATACGCACATCAGAAATCCATTTCCGCTTAAATCATGAAAAAAAGTTACCCAGGTCGCCAGATTTGCCATGATTTCTTAGCAAAATCTGGCAACAATGAAGTTTAATAAATACTAATTTCTGCATCTTTTAACCTCAAGAGTTTCATAATTACTTATGAATTTTTAAAAGGTTCTCAATACGCTCGGATGTAAGAGGTGTTCGCCAGGATGAAGCCTCCTATCTCATCACATACGGGCAGTGGTGAGGCGTGAATGATCGATTATCGATATTTCCCCATTTGAAACTATGGTAAAGAATCGATTATTAAGGGTTTCGTTGCGAACATCTTATTTTCGATCCTTCTTCATATGTTTATATTTACAGATTAATCGATATATCGCAAAGCACGTCACGTCACTGCATACGGGGCGAGGGAAAGGCAGGGGAGCGTGAAAAACAAACGAGGGTTAATTTTTAGTGTCTTTTGTCTTAAAACGTTTGTAAAATACACCGTCGTATTCCGGTATCAAGGGAGAATTTGCACAAAAAATTTTTATCGCTTTCATCTCAGAGTGCTTAATGAGCTGAGTTCGCAGTGTTTTTCGTAATTTTTATCTGGCTTGGGAAATTGGAGAAAAATAGATTTAAAAGTGAGAAAATGTGCCTCCTCATGACGTCATCTGGCGGCATTTTCCATTTGAACACATGTATTTTAGCAGATTAGGGTATTTTGTCATATTTCCTTCAATGAGTATCCAATGTAGAGACCAAGGATATCCTCGAACTCAGTTTTCCTAGCAGTATCATTTTAAAGATGACATTTTCAAAATTTCAGACACCTGCAAATTTTCCATTATTGAATTTTGATTTTCTGTAGACTAACGTTGCCTCGTCTCCATAGATGCTCACAAATATAAGAGGAAAATGAATTGAAAGAATACTATTTTAAGTAGAAATTTTTCCTTTATTTATATCAGTGATAAACTGGAGCTCACTAAGAAGTAAGTTTTTTTCCTACAGACTGAACATTAATACGAATCAAAAACGATGCTGATCTACATTTAAATTGCTCACACACATTTAACAAAATACATCCATGAAATACAATGCAACAAACCGAAAAGCTACAATTCATATTTACACTTATCTTAACAATTTTTACAAGCCTAACTTAAGTCGTAAAAATTATAAGTAACAAATTCCTTGCCGATGAAAAATTGCGGCAGAGACAATGGAAAACAGATCGATACTTAAGAAAGTAACAGGTAAAATAAAACAGATAAGAAATTACTAGTTTTCCTTTTTACTTAACGGATATGGTATTATTATTTATCGTCCGTGTAAATCACATTACGACCTCAATGCTGTATTCAATTTCATTTTATGCTACATTGACGTATGTGAAGAAAAAGCTCTGGTAGATCATTATTCATATTAAAAGAGATATTGATTGATACTATCCTATTGTACAGCTTTCATCCTGCTAAGAATGAGCAGAATAAAGATGGCATACGATACTGCATGGAAATCACAAATATGAATCACAATACTGATTTTATCGAAAAAAAAAATAAAAATTAAAAATATGCAAAAACAAAAATAAAAAAACATGATGCATTATTGAGAATCAAAATGTTTTCATGGCCTGTGCCATTATTGTTTTTAGAACAATTTCATTTTGCACGAAAATCGCATTTTAAAGCTGTAAGAAGTTGAGTTTACCGTTAAGCTGTAAATTTTTTAGTTTAGGACAGTATTAAACTCATTTTCAGCAATGGGTTGGCCTCAAAAATGTGCATGCATCGAATTAAATAAATTAGAAAGAAATGAAAAGTCGTATTCCATAGGAAAATAAGTATTAATTATCAATCTTTTTTAAATTTAATATTAAGCTTAAACACTACACATTGGAATGCAAATCATGAATGAAACATCCACCACAGTAACCCTAGAAGAGACCGTTTTTTCTAACTTATAAATGTATCGTAAAACTATTTTTGTTCATTTTCGATCCCTCAATCTACATCATAGGTGCTTACCAGTAGCGAGGAGTGCGAATGCTCATTATCGATATTTCCCCATTTGATGGCAGATCAATCAATATATCACAAAACACGCCACGCCACTGCTGTTTACAATAATTCTCAAAAGCAACTTTTAACTGAATATCCTCTCTCCTCTCAAAGTTGTAGGAATTCTTACGGCCACAGAGTGTGAAAAATTTGCCCTCCTTTTTTATTTTTTCATAAATCCTTTTAAATAAGGTGACCCCGTAAAATGAGCAAAGGCTTCCTGCACCGATATTCCCTTATCTCATTTGAGTACGACAAAGCTTTCCAAACATTTATTACCGTATTCAGTCGTTGATGAGTGAGAAAAGCTAAGCAGTCTTTTATTTACAAACCTAAAATGTATGAGCTCACGGCCATAACATTGCAGTTTAACTTTATGACGATTTTCTATGAAATAACATTTACGGTGGATTTTCGGTGGGACGAAGGGTACGTTCTGATAATAAATACGAGTATAAAATGTACAAAAGGAGAGATTAAACGTAAAAAATGTCAGTTATATTAGTCTTTCAGAGTCGATTCAGTTATGTATAGGAACGTAGAGTAAAAATCGTTCTTGCCAATGGCCAAGAAAGCTAATACGTGCCCATTAACTTTGCGAGAGTGACTTTGATCGTACATCCGTATGCTTTTCACGGATAAATTGGAGAATTTGAAAAATGTATCTCTATTCTAACTGTGGTATGGACTTCAAGTCTGTCACGTTTTCGACCTATCGTGAGTTTTACAGTCGCCCACAATTACTTCGTGATATTATCTAAAACCAATTCTTGAAGGTATTGAAAATTTGAGCAAAAGCTCAATTATTTTGAAATATTTTTGAAATTGTTTACTTTTTTCTGAGGCAGACTACAAAAAGTAGGGATCTTTTTTTTGCTAGTAATAAAGCACGCTATCTATGATAGTGGACAACTTGAGAGTATTTTTTATATCCCTCCTAGGCACAAGAACGCCTGTTTAAAATTTGCTACGAAAATTAAACTTCAAAAATGTCAAAGTTGAATTTTATTCTCATCATAATGAATTTAGATACAGCTGCCATATATTTTTACCGACATGGATTTGTAACATTTCAACTTTTGCAGTCTTCATTTATGAAGAATGTCACTCTTGATCCTTACGGATGGATGATAAAGTAGTTAAAATGATAGAAAGCTCAATTCAATGTTGGTTTCAATAATATAATTATTTTCCATATATTTCATTAGTCTCATTGACTGAAAGGTTCATGTTCGTTCCTACTTCACGACTAGATCCGAAGGTGGCGGCTGTTCTTCCACACTTGATCTATTCAACTTATGCAAAGAACTAAATTACGTGATACAATTATTTAAAGTTTGAAGTAGCTCAAATTGCATACCTACCGAAGTGTAGGCGAACTTCGGTCATTTTTCCGGTTATGTACTTTACCGACAGTCAAATGAATTTAAAGTCAATTGGAGTCAAATGAATGGAAAATTAATTAATGTCGGCCGGTAAGTAAAATCAAAATGGACTCGATCTCAGCTTCAATGTGGAAAAAGAATATTATTATTTGAATTATGTTGAAACCGAAGTGTTAAGTTCATAGAATACGTAGAGTCGTATTGTGAATGGGAGAGCTGACGCCACTTTTAAGCATTTTACCGATCCACAATTCCGTGACGCTTGAGTCACGCCGGGTCTCCATTTCGATACATATTCCATTGAATTCGATGCATGAGGACTAGGAATGACGATTTTTAATCGATTTTTCGAGGTCGATTTACAATCAGAATCGATTCTTCGAGCGGAAATCAACTTATTGAAAAAAAATCGAAATCGACGTTGATGTGTCACATCAGACCTAGGTTCTGTGAAACCCGAGTTTCATTCAAGTTCAGTTTTATTAGTATCTATGTTTTTGGTGCCGAACTTGAATTTTTAAGTGTTTTAAAATCGATTTCGGAAAAAACCGATTTTTTCTGATATCGATTTTTTCCATCCGATTTTTGTATCGAAAATCAAATCGATCTTCCCAAGTCTATTCATTCGAAAAATCGCTATCCGGAATAGGACCCGACCGGCGATAGACTATTTGATATTAACAAAGAAGATATGAATTATTACGTATTCTACACCGCTATTTTTGATCGAAAATGTATCGAAAAGGTGACCTAATCTCGGCAAACACCGGGCTCGGAACTAGTCAACCAGAACATGCCCCAGCTCACTCCATTATATTACGACTCAGTACACTCCATGGTTCAGTTCGACACAGTGTTTCCATTCTTAAATTCATAGAATTAAAAATTTAGTGATGAGAAGAGAGAGGAGTAGAAGGAAAGTGGTTGTCTGGGGAAGGGAGGCGGCTCCCCAGCCGCACTCGATGTCACTTTTGAGCACCTCGATTAGGGATTCGTTCTTCATGTTGAAGCACTCGGCTTTTCGTAGGTCATCCTCAGCCTCCAGACATTCGACCGCGATCGTCGTAGTGCGCACAGCGTCATCTGGCGAGCGGCACAGGAACTGCCGCTTTTTCCGCTGCCATACCTCGATCCACCTGAAATTTGGAAAAAAAAAGTGTTTCATTAATTTCCGTTTCTATCATATTTTTTGAATGGAAACAATGGAGATGTTGCATGTGTGAGGAATCTGCGATTTGACTATTAATTATTTTGTAAAAGTTCGCGAGAGACCCGATGGTGCCACTGGTTTTCTCTGAAATCAACTCCTAAGCTCAAAAAATGCTTTTAGGTAAGTTGAGGCCATAATGGAGGGGATATTCCACGCTATCCTGAGAGTCCACCGCTACATCAAGACAAACTCTCCATGCAAAGATAGGGAGCAAATACATTAGCAGGGTTGCCGTGTTTTCAGTTGTGGAGTCCCCAAATAAAGTGGCAGCCCTGCCAATGTATTTGCTCCCTATCTATGCATTGAGAGTACGTCTTGATGTAGAGGTGGACTCTCGGGATAGCGTGGGATATCCCCTCCATTTTGGCCTCAACTTGAGAGCTTTTTCTGAGTTTGGGAGTTGATTTCAGAGAAAATCAGTGGCACCATCGTGTTTCTCGCGAACATTTACATATGAAACAACAGTCAAATCGCAATCTCCTCACACATGCAACATCTCCATTCACTTTATTTTATTTTTCTTTTGAGCAGACTGGGTGTTTTACCAGAGGCAGGTAGCCATCCTCCCCTCCGTCCTTTATTTTTAACGATTTTTAGATTTTGTAATATTTATGTAAGTCAGTGTGATATGTGCTAGATGTCCTGAGGAACCCTGATGCCCTAGTCGTACGCAGAAGAAGAAAAAGAAACAATCCAATTTTATAGCTATAGCTTGAAATTTATATAGAATTTTCTGCTAACAGAGAAGAAAAAACCAATGAAGCTCTCAAAAAATTACGTTGACTAGTTTTCCAACAAAAAAAAGAAAGTACGACTGGAGATCTGATGACGCGAAATTCGCGCTGGATTTTTTTTTTTTTCTCGCCGGCTATTCACTCAGAGTAAATCATTGATTTTTAACAGTGTATTTCTACCCAAATCTAGTCGCTTCTTTTCAGTGTTTGCCTGTTCAGTGCAGTTGATGATGGTGCGGAATCTTACCCGAGCTCGCAGTTGCAAGTCCAGGGGTTGCCAGCGACGAGAAGTTGGGTGAGGAAAGTCTTCCTTGGGACCCCCAGGAAGTCCGCCGTGGAGGGGTTGCCCAGCGTGTGGATGCTGTTGTTCCTGATGTCCAGGCTGATGTTCTGGGCCGTACCCGTGTGCTCGAACATGGATCGTGGCAAAACTCCCACCGATGTATTGCGCATCATGAATAAAAGCCGCGGGAACCTAATACCCTGTGAACGGTCATTTTTTAGCGATTAATAATGTTGTACATACTTGAAGACACTCAACTCTAAAAACTTAAGTTTAATGAAGAAATTAAACTTCAAACCTCTTTTCCTTAGTTTGGTTTGATGTGACTTGATTCTAACAGAAAGTACTCATCTGACGAAGAGTTCGATTTCTCATTAAGCATCCCTGTGAAGTAGCTATGCATATAACACTTATTTTAGAGGATTTATAAATATTTACATTTTTTATAAAATTGCAATTTAAAATATTTGACTTCATTTATTAGTTGCATGGCTATTTCACAGGAATCTTACTCGAAAAATCAAAACCCCCGTTCGATCAGCTTCACTTTTGAGACTCATCGTAAAAACTTTATGATCGGGATGGAATATTTCCTTTTCAAAGTGTCTAAAACTGAACAAAATGTATAAAAAAATTAGTTACCTGAAGGATATGTGAGTCTAGCGATTGCAGGAATTGTCCACTTAAAGTGATATTCCGAAGTTTTGGAGGAAATTCACCCCGCATTTCAGCTTCTAAATTAGTCCGGTGAGTAACCTGTTGACCAAGGGTAATTTTTGTTCCATTAAAATCACAAATCCTCTAAATTTTTTAACCATATTCAAACACACTCTTAAGTAAAGTGGAAGGCAACGTGCCCGATTTATGAAGCAACGGATTTTTGGTTCAAAATCTATTCATCCAAAGCCTGACTTTCACCGACAATGAGATCAGGAGTCTTTCAGATACATTGTCATAGAATATTCAGATACCAGAAGTTGAATCCCGCTAATTTACTTTAATAAAATATTAAAGGAATGGATCAGTTTTAAGCATGAGGTTTGCTGGAACATTCGCGTGACGAAATAAGCTTTCAGAACACGCATTGGTGTCAAGGAATTGTACACACATAGGTTTTGAAGTATAGTTCAATGGAATGGAACCAGTTTGTTCATTTTAGAGTTAAAATCTGTCAATATTGATGAAAATAACGGATGGACTTCATCAGATTTAAAAACGAGGGAGAGAAGATTGGAGATGATAACTAAAATCTAATCTAATACAGCGGTGGTAGCACGAAAAATTCCATATATTGATAATAATGCTGCCGCTTGAAACGCCTTCAGTTGCGAATGATGCAACATCATGTACATCGGTTTGAATCATCTGGACCTTAAATCTTGGTGACTTGATAAAGAATAGAAAAAAATGCGAAAAGAGAAACACTCCTTAAACATTCACAATACTTTTAAAAAAGAGAGGGATATTGGTATAACTGATTTACTGGATCAACTTTACACTATGTTTAATAAAATAATCAACATTTTTGAAAAATTTCGATTATTTTATTAAAAATTGTATATAATTTCATATTTTAACATGATCGAACCGACTCGCGTGTTTACGAGTCAGCTGATGATGGTGGCTCGGGTAGCCGCCGAAACGCGTCCGAAAAATAACAAATTAGTGAAAGCGTGAAATTTCAAAAAAGTTTTAAAACTTTACACTAGTTTATTTCAACAAATCTTTTTAAAACAACAAATCGATTTAATCGGGGAATAACCTCACCTCGACATGCAAATTTCTCAGCGCCGTGTTTTGCTCCAAAATTTTCGGCAGGTTGAAATCTCGAATACTTTTGTAAGGGCTAATGTGAAGAGTCTTCAACGCCGACAACTTGCTCAATGAACCCATCTGTAACGAATCATTATTACGAAAATAGAATATCCCTTAAAAGTAAAAGTAGGGGCTGTTTGGGGTTCGAGACTACTCGATTATATCCTGGATGTAAAGCGCTGATTTATTCTAATTAAAAAAAAGAAACTTAAATTACATGAAAGATACATAATTTTGAGAGAAAAAGGAGGATAACCGTATCCTTTGGGACAACGGAAGTAAATATCTTTATTCCCGCAATGTTTTTTTTTTTTTTTTTTTTTTTTTTTTTTTTTTTTTTATTATTAAATCTCAGCATAAGTAAAATTTTAAGAGTCAATCTTTTACAGAAAGGACGGCACTCAGATCTTAAATGTGTTGGTGACTGGTACTATTAAAAATTCCTAGAGCTCCATAGTTTTTTCTTTGACACCATCGATTCGTCCACGAGTTAGAACAGTATCGAAATGTACAACATCTCTAATTATACATGTATGTATAGTGCTTTACTCAATTCAGACTAATTGTTCTTCTTTGCCAATAATTAAATTTGACTCCTTCGACCTCTTGTGCCCTCTTTTAACTTTTTTTTAAAAACATTTTTAGAGGACACATTTAGGGGAGTTTTTGTTGAAAATTGTTTCGGGTCATAATCAAATTTTCTTAAATTCTGTCTAATTGCAAAAACTGTCAATTCTCAGACATCGACTTATCATAATTACGAGGCTAAACTTACCCATCCCTAAGTTGAAACTGTACGTCGGAAGCAATGAACAATCACCGGCAATTTACGAGCTGGTAGAGATAAATGGTAGAACATAAAATTCAGAAATAATGACACATGAGGAGTTACTGATTATTTGATCTAAAATTGAAATGGCCATTTTTTTTTTACTTCAATGCATGGTAGAAGTCGATGCATTTATGCGTGCATGTTGTAGAAATCAGTACCTATTGTTGGGTTAGGGTCGTATAGGCAACAAAACTAACTTCATAAAGAGGCGTAAAATATCTTGAAAAGTGAAGGCGCTTCAGGATGAGATCGTGTTCCTCAAGCCTCTCGCCGGTAATGTCTCTAAAATAATATATTTAATATGTCGATTCGAATTATACAGATTCACCAAAGCCTTTGACTGAAGCAGTTCGAGAGCTGTTTGTGAATTGCCGGTGAAATTTCAAAGCCTAGGACAGAAAATAACCGATCAAATTAATTAAAAATACCTCAAATTGCGTGACAGGCAGGTGTGTGATGTCCAATTCTCTCAGGCGGTTATGACCACCAAGTAGCGTTGTGTTGGTGAACGAAGCGATGTGATTGTGTGATAGGACGATGGTCCTCAGAGATGGCAAAGAGTGGACGATCAACGGAATCTCAGAGAAGACATTATGCGAGAGGTCCAGAGTTCGAAGTGACGTAAGATTCATCGCCAACTCGACCGGGAAGTTCGAAAGACGGTTGTAGGAAAGTTGCAGATACAGCAGACCGGTAAACGGCAATTCTGGAAGCTGTTTAGGAAAAGATCGAAATTAGCTGCTCAATGGGTAAAATAAAATCTAAAAATGGAGATCTTGGAGAAAAATTGGAATTTGAATGGAATTTGGGAAACCAACAGACCAGCCCATTGCGGTGCCGTGGTGGAATACCCCCTCACCAATAATTTTCCGATATTAGCCAATGGCGTACCTTGGTCATTTTGCAAAAATTGCCGAAGTTAGGTTGGATTGCTAGAGTTCATTTTTGTGTGAATGTGATACCAAGAATATCCCCTAAACATTTTGCCACATTGTGATAAAAAAATGTCAGCTTTCCCTCCTAAGAAGTTAACTAAGTTCGAAGTTTTCCGGACGATAGAACGTGACAGCAACTTGAAAAAAATTTCCACTGGTAATTTATATTTTCACCGGAAAACATACAGGATTGCAAAATCTCCATGATCCTGTGATCCTAAGATTGCAAGCTCGCGGTGTGCACTATTCGGAAAAGAAAATACGTCTTTTCAACGACTTGAGCGCGCAACGTGATATATGCGCAGTGCATGAAGTATCCTGCCGACTTGTAAGGCGCCATACCATCCGTTGCGCGAACCGTGCTGTACGCGCAATGCATGAAGTATCCTGCGGTCTTGTAAGGCGCTACTATAGGTTTGTTTGATGCTACTGATAATTTTTAAGCCGCGTGCTACCGTCCTGTAGTCTCCTCAGCGCGTAAATTTTAGACACATGGTGTCAAGAGACGAGTGTGGGAAAACTGATGTTACTCAACACTCAGCAGACCAAATTTAAAATACTGAAAATTTTTAGAAAGCTGAAAATATGACAATTTAAATTCTTATTGCAGATTTAAAGTGTTTTTTTCATTTAACAGCTATGACACATATTAACTTACTTTGTACGAACAACCCTTGTACTTAGATTACACCTTTTTACTCAGCAATTCCAGGATCATGCAAAAGCCTCACCAAGGTTGCCAAATTGTGCAATATAATTTTACACGTATTTAAATTTGGAAAAAGTGCTAATTTTTCAGCACAATCTGGCAACTGTGTAAGCCTCATTAGCAGCTAATTTTTCTGTTATTACTGCAATCTCATTATTGGAACAGGCACTCAAGGTTCGGATGTGAGCAATATAACTTACATATGACATGGACAAATTCTGGAATCCCAAATAGATCAGGGAGGTTTCAAGGCCAATGAAAACTCTACCCTTCTGTTCGAAAGTCAACTCAGGGTTTGAGCTCAGCTCCAGGCTTGAGAGGCGTGACAGCGAACTGAATGTCGCATCTTCAAATCGCACCAGCCGATTGAACGAGAGATCCAGTTCACGCAAACTCTGCAAAAACAGAATACAAATCAGAAATACATAGACAGTTCGCAGATTTTACTCGCTCATTCTCATACTAGACTGCAAGGGAGTTAACGTGTGAAACTAACGGTGCCGAGGTGTCGCTCAATCGGGGAAAAAATTGGAAGGAAGTTATACAGCCTCAGAGGGCTGATTATTGAAATTGATAGACAAAGTTATAGACAAACAAGACAAAACAGATATGGGTATCCTAGCGGCGGAAGTGTGTGGTTGCAATGGACAAAGGATTAAGGTAATAGACTGACTGGATTACATTTTGGAACAAGGAACCATTATCTCGGGCTCTTCTATAAAAGCACCTTTCTGTGTTGGAAAACCAATGGCATATATGTTGTTTCTAAAATGAGCCAGAAATAATGGTTCCTTCTTGCAAAATGTGGTCCAACTGGACCGCGTTTAACAAAAAGGAACTAAGCCACATCAGCTATTGCCGAATTTAAGTGGGTAGTTTAATTTTTTACACAAAAACGGTTGTGCGGATTTTTGTTAAAATTTCAGTGAATTTTCTGCATGGTACGAGGAAAATTCCTCAAAATTTTCAAAGAAATCCTCACGAGTGTTCTATTTTAAAACATTTGATTGCCCAGTTAAATTTAGCAATAGCTGATGTGGCTTGGTTCCTTTCGGTTAAATGCGGTCCAACTAACGTCAACCCACAAAGAGATCTGATAGTTGGACGTATTTCTGACAAACGGAACGATGTGTGCATAAAGACATAAGCCCTGAAACCCATAAGAATACGTGCATAACAGGGCTCACGTCAATGCACATAGTTCCGTTTGGCAGAAATACGTCCAGGTAGTCCATCAGTTACTATCTTAGTCCATAAGAACCACACATTCAAACCAATTTGATCGCTCCATACTCCTATTCTTTGTTTACCTCTTTGTCCCTATCGATTTCAGCAATCAGCCCGCAGACCGAAAGATGGTAGTATAGCATAGGTATGTACAGAACGCTTACTTTCAGAAGCAATATCGAGTTTTCCTAATTCATATTGCAGAACTTCCTGATAGGCTTGTCCATTGATATTGTAATCATTGCTGTATAAACCTACTTGAAATGCACATCGTACCCGTAGTCGATCATTATTCTCCCTGCACCCATTTCAACCGATAGGATCGCTACATACTTCTTATGTCTTCTTTGTCTATAAATATCAACAATCAGCCCTTAGCAGGCTGTTTATTGACATTGATAGACAAAGCTATAGAAAAAGAAGACATAGGGAGTATGGAGCGATCCTATTGGTTGAGATGCATGGTTTCTATAGACTAAGGGAGAAAGTGATGGACTAACTGTAGGATCTCTCGTGGGTTGCTGTTTAGTCAATTACCTACCTTCTTTGTCCATTGGAACCACCCGCTTCGACCAACAGGATTGCTTTATTTTCAGTTTGTCCTCTTTGTCTATCGCTTTGTCTATTAATTTCAATAATCAGCTGCAGGTAGGTTGAAGCTAAAAGAAAGGAGCTAACATAAAAATAGTGATTTTAGCACTTTCGGTTCTTACCCTGAATCTGGACAAAAGCTCCGGAGCGTGGATCGATTGGATGGCGTTATGCGAGAGATCCAAGTGGCAGAGGGTCGAGGCTGCGGCGGCCGAAAATGATGAGATAGGGAATCGGCCCAACTGGTTGTAGGCCACGGATACGTACTCAAGACCGGTTTCAATGAACAGAGAGTCGGGGAGGGATCGAAGTTTGTTCGAACGGAAGTCTACGACCCTCAGATTTGATAGTGACCGGAACAACTCGCTTGGAATGTCTGTCAGTTGGTTGTAGCCCAAGTATAGAATCTGTAAAAAAAAGGAAATGAGAGCTGTAAAAAATCGCTTAGCTACCCTTCGAATCGGAATAGTTCACTAAATACGGGTGGAAATAGTGAGTCCTTTACAGGAAAAATTAAGAGTGAAAAATGAATATGTTGGTTGACAGCTGTATCAATGTTGAGCTGTTTTAAAAAGTCAGATACCTTATTTTTATGTCTAATTATCATGAAAGTACCGTTTCGCTATTGCTGTTGAAATTGCCTGTTATTTGTATCAGCTCCTTCAGAAAGTTAACAAAAACATACTACCGTGCTCCGAAAAAATATCTTTTAGGCATTTTAGTAGTACACACTTTTTCCTGATAAATTAGTTATTTTCCTGCAAGACTTTTTCTTGAACTTCTTTTGTTATTTTTCTTTAAAGTATGATCTGGTTCTCCCGAAACTTTTCAGGCAAAAAACTCTGAATTTTTCTCTTAAGTAAATGTTTAATCCGAGGAAATTTGGCAACATTCAAACATTTGTACGGCGTCATTCCTTAGCGAAGTAGTATGCTTCTCGCATGAAGGACGAGAATATCAATATATATAATTTACCTCGGCGTCGTCGCGTCGGCTGGCAAATAGAACGCAACTTCGATTGTAACGCCTGGCATGGATGCAACTAAACAAACTTACTGATTGTGCGCATTGCGTGCGCCAAAAATGAAGGAGCTGTTCTCGCACTCATTGTGCGTTATACTAAGGTCCGATCGTTCCAAGTCAGCTAGATAATAATATCCAAAACAGCCGCTAGACTCGCACTTCACCAGGTGAAATTACAGCAAAGCACATTAGCACACTGAATTTCGTCCATTTAAATGTTTGTTAAACAATTTATATTAATTGTTTAACAAACATTTCGACGGTGAAAGTCGGCAATCACATAACTCGGTTTGCGACGTCGCAGACTTCCTGTCATTCTTTATTTTTTAAATGGAAAACTACTCAACGGCAATACGGCTTTAAAACTGTCATGATTTTTCTTCTCAATGCGAAGAAAATTCTGCAAAAACTTCAAGAAATAATATCAATTTGTTCTCCTTTAAAAAAATGACGTAGAGGCGGAGATTTTCAGACACCGCAAACGAGTTATGTGATTGCCGACTTTCACCGTCGATTTAGCCCTCACTCAGCATAGAGGATTTGTAATGGATTTAAATTGAATGAAAAGGACAGCAAGAATCACCACTGCATTAACCACTCATGAATATTTTGTCTCTTTCTGGTCAAAATATCACAAGCACCATGTGACGTTTTAAAATTTCCGCCACCATTTTATTTTTTACTGAGAAATTGTTCAACAAAGCTGGCCGAAAATTTCACTGAATTTTCTTTGTGCTCCAGGTTAACTTCAGTGCAATTTTCAAACAGATTCAGTTAACAATTTCTCTGTAAAAATATGAAATAGCGGCGGAAATGAAACGTTGCATGGCGCTTGTGATGCTTTGGCCGAAAGGTGACGATTTATCGAGAATACATGACTAACCTGCAATTTTCGCGTATTTTTGAAGGAGTCAAAATCGATCTCAGAGATGAGGTTGGCTGACAGGTCAAGCCACTGGAGATGAGGCATGTTTCCGAAATTATCGCGAGTAGCGTTGAGAAGCGAATTATGCGACAGATACAGGTGAGTGATGCTTGACTCGATTGGTCGGAAGTAGCCGTGGGCAATCGAAGAAACGTTGTTGTGTGACAAATCCAAAATCTGCAAGGGAGAAAAAATGAAATAAGACTTTCCTCGGAAAATATTTTCGCTTGCGAATTTTTGCTTTTCATATTTTTCTACCTAATCCCCAATCATCCGGTTCTTATTTTTTAATGCCAATTTATCTTCTTTCGTCCTGTTAATCCTCACTTAAATGGGCCTGTTGCATGCGAGAGATACAGCCGTGCGAATACACTTGCTAGAGGTTAAATGACATGAAAATTAAGATGGTCACATTAAAAAAGTCTGAAATACACTCCTTACTGCGCAATTTGCGTTGTTAGGAGCGCGCTTTTTCAAATTTCCCGCGTCGGGGGGCCGTTTTCTTACGGAAACAATTAACGGCAACTCGCGGCTATTTCCGGTCAACTGAAACTGACAACATAACCTAAAAATCGGAGCTCGTGACATCGTGAAATGAAATGTGGAAGGATTGCGTTGGATATTTAAAAGTTGATCGATTTGGTGACCGCATAAAGCGTATATGGACCATTATAAGAGATCACGTTGGGTTTGTGAACAAACTGAAGGAAAAAATAACAACAACAACGACTGGGCATCTTCCGGAAATCACCGAGCCCGCCATTTGCTCGTTTCCGGCGATTAGAAAACTGCCCCCAGACGCGGGAAATTTGAAAAAGCGCGTTCCTAACAACGCAAATTGCGCAGTAAGGAGTGTATTTCAGACTTTTTTAATGTGACCATCGTAATTTTCGTGTCATTTAACCTCTACAAAGTTTATTCGCGCGGCTGTATCTCTTGCATGCAACAGGCCCATTGACAGTATGCCAATTCACCTATTTTGTAACAACATCTGTACTTAAACTGCAGATGTGTGTTACACGAAGTTAAGAACCAAAATTACTAAGGTACCTCTGTGGAATTTTACTCTGCTAATATAGTTTGCATGCATTGAAATTGCATGCTTATCATCGCTCTACGTCTGGCCGGTGGACAGCTCTGAATGCATGTGTCAGCGGGCACAAAATTAGCAATCTTTTGATAAACACCACCAACGTGTTTTGGCGGTGAGTTGTTGCATTCTTAACATTGTATAAGGGTCTTTTTTCAATCGTCTCGAATATTATATCAAATATATCATTTTTCTCTGTGTCAAACTTGATAAAACAAACGAACAAAAAAAAACACCTCTTTTAAAAAAGAACGAGCCAGTAAAAGTTCTTACCTTCACATTTGAATGGAACATTAGCTCTCTTTGAGTCAGACTGTTGTTTGCTTTCAGTTGCCGGATTTCATTATAGCTTATGTTCAATCTGAACGAGGATAACGTGCCAACCTGAAAATGAAAATGACGTCATTAAATTTCAAAAAAAAATATCAACAATTAAATGACAACTGCAAAGAAAAATACACCCAAATTGGCAATTGGTTCATGAGGCCAAAATGTAAAGTATGATAATCATTAATATGTTTCAATCAATTACGCGCCTATTCGGGTCAAGAGTTAAAAGCTAATATTTAGAAGGAAAAAATAGAAAAAGTCGAAAATTAGCACGGAACTGACCAAAATTGGAACGGTGTGAAACTGAAACTGGTACATTAAAAAATAAAACGAAAAATAATTTTCGATTTGCCTGCCAGGGCAACGGTATTTCTTTAAAAAAGTTTAAAATTATCATAAGTGAATTTAGAAAGATTTGGAAGTAACTTGATAATGTAAGTGTGATTACTCTCGAGCAACTATTCGAACTGTCTGGAAACCAAATTGCATATCTAATGAAATGAAGGCATTTTGAATCTGTAGACCTGCCACCGCGTGACTTACTCAGGCTACCCCACCGTTGCGCCTTCAATGCAAGTATGATTCCTCTCGAGCAACTATTCTAACTTAACGGAGATGAATTGGCATATCCGATAAAATGAAGGAGCTTTGAATCTGGGGATACGAAACCAAGCTATGTTATTCAAAATACCTCTCTGTTGCACCGTTGATGCAAGTGTGATTTCTCTAGAGCAACTATTATACTCCGGAAGTCAAATTGTAAATCTGATGAAATGAAATGCTTGGAGAAATAGTTATAGTTTTTTTTTTTTTTTTTTTTTTTTTTTTTTTTTTTTTTTTTTTTTATTGAGATATCAACGCCTAGTTATTGCTCCTCATTTTTTAGCCCATTCAATTGTAATTTTGCAGACTCACCTGGTCAAGACAGGCAAAATCGAAAGATTTAAGCTGGTTGTAGGCAAGGTCCAGGAGCTCTAGTTCTGGCAGGTTCTGGAAGGCCTCGTCAGAGATCCAATGGATCTTATTGCCTTTAAGGTTGAGGAACCTAAGGTTGTCCAAATTGATGAAGGCACGACGCTCAATTCGCGATATCTGGTTGTCGTCTAAGGATAGGTGCGCCAGCGAGGAGATATCCACGAACGTGTGTGTGTTGATCTGCTTGATCAAGTTGAACGATAGGTACAGCTCCTCCAAGAACCCGTGGATGTCACCCTGAGAAAGTTAATAGGTCTTAAATTAAGTATTTAGATCGAAATTTTGATTTTTTACCCTAATTTTAGAAAAAATAATTCGCTGTTTCTGTAAGAATAAACTTTCTGAAAAAATATGCAGCATACAATAGTATTTCAAACGATTTTTAAGATCCTGAATGCGCATTTCTCATGAGATTTTCAGCGCGTCATAAAACATAAAATTTTTAATATTTTAACATTTAAGTGTACTAAAGGCATGTAAAAAGGAAGAAACAAGGAGTGTTCGCGGATTTGAAGAGTTATTCTCCCCAAAATATTGAAAACCCGTGAACTCCTCGCCATAAAGAGCCTCGCCAAAAAGTGGTGTTTTTTCGCCCCTTTTTTTATACCCGAGTTAGTCAACCGGACGGAGCTCAAATGAAAGCCTATGGTAAGGCAAACTTCCATGCAAAGTTTCAACTTGAAGTGACCCCTGGTTTAGGCTGTACACCGTTGCCAATTTTCCCGTTTCATGTGCTAAAATCAAGGATATTGGACTATTAGTCCGGTGCATAAGTAGACTAGTACACCCAAGTTGGTCAACGGGACAAAGCTCAAACGAAAGCTCATGGTAAGGCAAACTTCCAGGAAAAGTTTCAACTTGAAGTGAAACCTCGTTTGGGCTGTACAGCGTTGCCAATTTTCCATTTTTATGCGCTAAACTCACGAAATACTGAATCGTCATGGTTCAACAGACTATTATACCCGAATTGGTCAACGAGACAAGGCTCAAACGAAAGCTAATGGTAAGGCAAACTTCCAGGAAAAGTTTCAACTTGAAGTGAAACCTCGTTTAGGCTGTACAGCGTCGCCAATTTTTCATTTTTATGCGCTGTACTCACGAAATACTGAATCATC